GACAGAAAGCAATTAATAAAGTAGAGTTGATAAAAAAAGAGAGACAAATGCATGCAGAGACAGATAGACAGATAAAAAGATAAAGAAAGACAAAAAGAGACAAAATAAAAAATAAAATAAAGACAGAAGACAAAAGGAGACAGTAAAAGAGACAGCACAAGAGACAGAGAGACACAAAAAGAAACAGAGACAAAGAGATAGAAAAAGAGACAGACAAAAAGAGACAACACAAGAGATAAGAGGGAGGCAGTAAAGGAGACAGCAAAGGAGACAGCAAAGGAGGCAGTAAAGGAGACAGTAGAGGAGACAGTAAAGGAGACAGTAAAGGAGACAGTACCTCGTCCGTCAGCTGTGCAATGCGGGGGGGCATGAAGGGCTTAATGCGATGCCAGCATCGCTCAACCCAACCTGCTGCTGCTGCTGGTGTCTTCTCAAGCCTGAAACTCTTACTCTGCAGCAGCAGCAGCAGCAACAGCAGCAGCAGCAGCAGCAGCAGCAATAGCAGCAGATAAAGAAGAAGAAACAATATGAAGAGATGAAGATGTTAGGTGTGGGGTCTTGTTGAGAGGCAATGATAAGAGATAAAAGCAGACAAAAGGAGACAGTAAAGGAGATAAAAGGAGGCAGTAAAGAAGACAATAAAGGAGACAATGAAGGAGACAAAAGGAGACAGAAGGAGATAATAAAGGAGACAATAAAGGAGACAAGAGAAGACAGCAAATAGAGTCCCTGTGCGGCGAGGGAGACAGCGCAAAGGAGACAAAGAAGAAAGAAGATGCAGAGAAAGAGACAGCAGAAAACGCGAGAGAGACAGAGACAGAGACAAAAGGAGACAGACACAGAGACAGAGACAAAAGGGGACAGAGAGAAGCAAAAGGGAGACACTGAGAAGACAGAAGGAGACAGAGACATAGACAGAGACAGAGAGAAGACAAAAGGAGACAGAGAGAAGACAAAAGGAGACAGAGAGAAGACAAAAGGAGACACTGAGAAGACAAAAGGAGACAGAGAGAAGACAAAAGGAGACACTGAGAAGACAGGAGGAGAGAAAGGAGCAGCAAAAGGAGACAGAGAAAGAGACAAACGGAGACAGAGAGAAGACAAAAGGACGGAGAGAGAGAGAGACAGCAACAGCAACAACAAAAACAGAGACAGTGTACCGAGGTCTTACAAATGCCTCTAGCAGCAGCAGCAGCCGTTTGGGGTGTCTCTTCGGGGGCAGCAGCTCTTTATCGACTTGCAGCAGCAGCAGCAGCTGCTCAATGTCATGACTCAGAGACAAACTAACAGCAGACAGCGCTAGTACAAACGCTCGAGGATTTAACACAGGCAAGTTAAAAGATAAAACGTTCTCCTGAACACACACACACTCACTTGCTGCTGCTGCTGCTGCTGCTGCTGCTGCTGCTGCTGCTGCTGCTGCTGGGGGTGGTGTTGCTGCTGGGGGTGGCGTTGCTGCTGGGGGTGGTGTTGCTGCTGGGGGTGGTGTTGCTGCTGGGGGTGGTGTTGCTGCTGGGGGTGGTGCTGCTGCTGGGGGTGGTGTTGCTGCTAGGGGTGGTGTTGCCGCTAGGGGTCGTGTTGCTGCTGTTGCTGCTGCTGCTGCTGTTGCTGGGGATGGTGGTGGTGGTGGTGCTGCTGCTGCTGCTGCTGGGGCTGGTGTTGCTGCGGCTGCTGTGGGGTGGTGCTGCTGCTACTGAGGGTGGTGTTGGTGCTGCTGCTGTTGCTGCTGCTAGGGTTGCGGCTGGAAGTGGTGCTGCTGCTACAAGAGATGCTGCAGCAGCAGCAGCAGCAGCAGGAGCAGCGCCTTCTGCTGCTGGCGGTGCCTCTCTTATTGCTGCTGCTGCGAGTGGCGCTGCTGCTTCTAGTGGGGCTGCTGCTACAGCAGCAGCAGCACCAGCACCAGCACCACCAGCAGCAGTAGCAGCAGCACAAGCAGCAGCAAGAACAGCAGCAGCAGCTTTGGTTTCCGCTAGATTTGCGGTGTATGCACACAACGACGTACTGTAGCAGGAGTGAGACTATCATCAATCTGCTGCTGCTGCTGCTGCTGCTGCTGCAGCTGCTGCTGCAGCGGAGAGTACTCCAACGTCAAGGCATTTAACTGGCTCTCTAAATTCAGCATCGCGTCCTCCTGCACACAAACCCTAAACCCTAAACCCTAAACCCTAAACCCTAAACCTTAGACCCTAAAACCCTAAACCCTAAACCCTAAACCCTAGACTGACGAAAACGCTGTCTAGCAGGCCCTCTAAACCGTACAGTTTCTGCTTAGGGTTTAGGCTGAGGGCATAGGGCCCAAGCTTAGGGTTTAGGGTTTAGATATACGGAACAGGGTTTAGGGTTTAGGGTTTAGACCTAGGGTGAACAGTATGCGCCTAGGGTTTAGGGTCTAAGGTTCAGAGTTAGGGTTTACGGTTTCAGAGCTAGGGTTTAAGGTTTAGCGCTAGGGATTAGGGTTTACAGCTAGGGGCTAGGGTTTGGGGTTTAGGGTTTACGGTTCTAGGGTTTAAAGCTAAGGATTAAGGATTAGGGTTTAGAGCCTAGAGCTACGGGCTAGGGTTTAGATCTACGGTTAAGGCATTAGGATTTAGATCTAGGGTTTAGGGTTTAGATCTAGGGTTTAGGGTTTAGATATAGGGTTTG